AAACCAGGCTCATCTCCCCTGGGGTGGTCGGCTGAGGTGTGAAACAGTTAAAAAGGGGGCAGCCCTGGGGGTTCTGGCTCCAGCTTGAATTCGCATGCTGCCACCAGATGGCGGCAGAGTAAATCAGTAACAAAAGAGCTGCCTTCCAACTCCGGTGTGTCGGGTGAACTGGTTGGCCCCTCTCTCTGAGCCTCCACTGCCTCATTGCCATGGCCACGTGCCCTCTCCACGGCTGGCCAATGACCCCTACCTCTGCCTGGCCTCAGGCCTCTCCTCTAGACCCCAGTTCGTTCTGTGGCCCTGCATATGCTCCGGCCCTGCCCCATCCCTGACCTGCCCTCCTTCCCCCACAGCCTCAAGCTTGTCCTGATGCAGGGCCCTTACACTGGCTGTGCCTTGCCTGGCGACACTTCTCTTTTTGTTCGTATTCAGGCATTGCTGCCTCCTTCAGGAAGCCTCCCTAATAGCCCTTCTGCCTGCCCCTGACTGGTCAGGAGCCCCACAGGCCCTGGGCACCCCATGTTATGAGAGCTTGGTCCTCAAGTGGCCCCGGAGCTGGGAGACACAGAACTGGGCAGGACACCCGTAGCCCTGAGGGCCAGGGTGGGGCTCCTTGGACACTTGGGAAATGTCTGGAGTGACTCCGTTTTCCAGATGAGGAAACTGAGGCACAGAGAGGGGCGGCAACTTGCCCCGGGTCACACTGGCGGGGCTGGGTTAGAACCCACGTCTGCGGACATCTGGGGCGTGGGATCAGCTGTGACCTGCGCCCTCCTCCGACCTCCAGGCCTCTGTTCCCACCCCCACCCCAAGCTCGGGGTTTGGGGACTCAGACGCTGAGGACCCTGGGCCACTCTCCCCCCCGTCTCCCCGTGGGAAGGACACACAGGAGCCAGGGGGACGGTTCAGCTTTTATTGACGCACCGTGGGTCTGCCTGGCTCCCAAGAGCCAGGGGCGCAGGAAGGGGGGGCACAGGCGCAGAAGCAGACCCGCCGTGTCTGTCCACAGCATGGCCTCAGTGCCCCGGGGGCGCTCAGGGGCCGTCCTCGCCCCCCGCGTTGCTCAGCACTGAGCGGATCCAGTCTACGTAGAGGGAGACGCGAGCAAAGAAGTCGGGGTACTGGCGGGTGGCGCATCCCTGGATCACAAAGGAGTCCACGCCCTGGATGACACCGTCGCAGATCAAGGGGCCGCCCGAGTCCCCCTGGGGAGGGGGCAGGTCGGTCAGTCACTCAGCCCAGGCCAGCAGCCAGACGAGGCTACCTCAGGGGAAGGGGCCACGTAGGGGTGAAATGTTTCCAGTCTAGAATTTTCTTTAAAGTATGTGGGTGAGACAGGGAGGGGAGGCCCCTCTGGAGGAGAGAGGGCATTTATTGGCCCCCTGCTATATACCTGGACCCCAGAATTCTGGGTGTGGCCCCCGGAGCGGGGCTGGGGCACCCACCCAACGGGGGGCTGCGGGGTGGAAAAGCCCCCAGACCCATGAAGTCCCCGTTACCCCCTCACGATGGGTGTGCCCACCTTCCAGATGGTGTGACGGAGGCACCCGCCTGCCTGCCCTCCCTCCCTCACCCGCCACTGAGCTGCAGCCCCCAGTACATACAAAACAGATGCCAGCGCTGCGTCGGGGCACAAAGGTGCACACGTTCTGTGGCCGGCACAGGAAAGTGACCACGGTGACGTTGAGCTCCTGCAGGACCTGGGGCAGCGGCTCAAAGGTGCCCAGGCGGCCCCAGCCCATGGCCAGGCACTGGGTGCCATGGGGCAACAGCTGATTCTGCTGGGGGAGCTGGGCTACCGCAACCTGGGGGTTGAGGGTGGCCGGGCGGTCCAGCTGGGACAGAGGGCGGTTGGTGAGCAGTGAGTCTCCAGGACCTGCAGCCACCCGTGGACGATTATCTCAAAGTGCCTCCTCCAGGCCTTTGCACATGCTGTTCCCTCCGCCTGGCTCTACCTCAGGGGTCACCTCCTCCAGGGAGGCTGCCCTGATCACCCTCCAAACCTGCCAGGGCTCAGTTTCACATTCCCTGAGGCCATGAGACTCCCCTTTGCAGCATTGGTCACTGTTGCATTCATTCACTTAAGAAGCACTTATTGAGCACCAACTGTATGCTTGATCCTGGGCTGAGCCCTGGGGATCCTACCTCTGCCTTCCGGGAGGTGATCTTTGGGGCTGGGAGGGGCCAAGAAGAGAATGGCAGGTGGCAGAGTCAAGGGAAACATAGCCCAGTGATGAACAGTGTATCGGGGGAGGGGTGGCTGTCACTCAGGTAGGGTGAGGGGAGGCTTCCCTGAGGAGGGGAGGCTGGTGCCAAGGCTGAGGGTATCTGGGAACAGCGCAGGGAGCAGGGAGGGGACACAGCCGGGCAAAGGCTGGGGGCGGGGTGTGGGGGCATC